GTCAATCTTATTTTCTATTTCCTATATTCTCCTTAGTTTTATTTTTTATTTCCTAGAACTTAAACAAAACTCCAGTTTTGATACATATCTGTTGATAATGAACCAAAGCTGCTGAAACAGTGAGTATGCTTGTTAGCAAAATATTCCTGTCATCAGATCTCAGTCAGCTTCATTGCAGCTGAACACCGTGTTACACTGAACATCACATCAGCTGGTGGACATAAATACAGTACAGTAATATTATATTCACAAAATACTAACAATAATATGTTCATCTTACTGTGAGAAGTTATCCCCCGAGACCGGACGTCAACAGTTCGTCGATTAGAACAGAAATAAGCTGCGAAGTGCTGAGACATCTTCTACTTTAACCAAATAAGGACGACCGCTCCAAGATGGCGGCCAAAAATCCTGCGCCGCAGCAGCCAATGAGGGATCTAGTGTTTATATGATATCTTTGCTGGGAGCCATGAGCACCCAGCCTTGTCAAAGGAAAATCATAGTCATTGGCAGGATGCAACCGAGTAATGGCAGGAAGTCTTTCAAAATAAAATAAAAATATATACATTTTGAAAAATATTTTAAAAAGACATAAATAAGGCGCTCCTGCATATAAACCACGTGGTACAAAGTGTGAGACAAAAGTAGCGGCTTATACACCGATAATTACGGTATCACGATTCCTCTCCTAGAGAATATATCAATAGAATCACTCATCCCTCGGTGAATAGGTTTATCGTCCTCCTTTGACATGTGAATACTGGTTCTGGCTAGCAGAAACTGGTTGATGAGGCTATTTGACTGAGTTTTTAGCACCTCCTCAGACTGAAGAAGTCTTTTGAATAAAAGACAAAACATTTCAACAAAGAAGAATCTGTTCAGAAGACCTGACTAGATTTATCTACCTGGATTATTGAGCAGCATCAGGTGATAAACTGTTCATGATGCTCCTGATTTAAAAAGGTTTATTCTTGTAACTTTTCAGAAAAAAAAAAGAGTATATTTTTGAATTTGTTGTTAATCTGTTATGATTGCGGTTTTGGGTTTTGAAGGATTTTTTTAAATCTTCTCTCTAAAATAAACTAAAAACATTTTGCCCTGGCAAATAGTTTTGGTTTCATATTTGATACGTTCATGTTTATGTTATTAGAAATACTTTAATTGTTAGGAGAACACTGCTGTTAGAAAGTGCCTTTTTAATGTATAAAACTTTTTTTATATTTAAAACAGTACCTTAAAAATGTTCTAAACATCTTTAAAACATATTTAAGTCATAATTTAATTTTGTGCATACTAGTGAGATTTATATATATATATATATATATATATATATATATATATA